TCTCTTGAGTACGGTAAGATACGGAGAGTCGCAAGATCCGGAATCGCAGGCAACATACTCATAATTCAGAGGCAGTCGACTAAAGAGCAGCTGCACTCAACAACAATCAATGTATAAGATGACTACAGAGTAAAAGTAGTCTAAGCACGTTGGCAGCTCAGTCGATCCGCCGTGGGGCGGCGGGTGGAGAATCGAGCGTGCAATCCACTCCAAAACCCACTCCGATGTGCGCCGCGCCTGGATCCATGAATAAGTTAGAGGTACCGTATCTACTTCATACGGTAGTCCCTATGTACAGGACATCGTACCGTACCGGATAGAGTCGAAATTTTCGGCTTGGAAGACACATCACTGCATCGGCGCAAACATATCATATGCAATCTGCAACATTCCTCAAATATGTTGTGGTGTTCCGCCCACCCCATTGGGCGTCATTGTCTGGAAGCTCCTCAAGTTTTGGTCCCGTCGGCTTCATTAATGGACCAGAACGACAACTAAATCATGTCTCCTGCTGGTTCCGACTTTACCCTGGCCTGTCTTCGCAAGGATAGGAGATTGTGCCTGCTGATAGGGCGAGTAAAAGCCTCGCCTACAGTATTTTTAAAGATTTCTGGTCTGCAGTTCATACTCTTCTAGGTTAAAAATTCTTAATCTAACCACGGCAGCCACTGCGGCGTAACCAGGCACCGGGTTTGAGCCTCCCTTGTCATAAAGGTTACTCGGGTAATCCTAACAGAGCCGGAAATGTTGGATTGAAGAGAGTCGATCAATCGTCAGCACTGCGAGGAGCTGGTTTGCGCATCAATGGAGATACACTTGATACGTCGATCTGCATACCTTAGCTGGTACCAACCATCTGCAAAGAGAGAATATAAGGGTTTCCTCGGGTCTTCTGCAAGCCACCCAGCATGAGGCAGAGACAGGTGCCAAACAACGACTTAGGAATGCAAGGTGGGCCTAGTCGTGTACTTCAGAGGCGGTGTCGAGGAGTAAGTCAAACCGGTACAGACGCTATCCGAGGATGGTTAGTTTGCTCTGCACTGGAAAGGATCGGTAACAACGTATACACTTCAAAGCAAGAAGAGCATTGCGATCCCAACATCAAACACATTGATTTCAAAATTTGGTGCCTGGCTAGGAGTCGCGTCCAGAGCCGAGGATAATTGTTGATAAACTAGCCTGGCGGACGACTGGAGGATGAAGGGATCCATTCAGGTTGTGGATCATTGGTTCCATCATGGTGGATGCAACGCCGGGTTTCCGAATTAGGACGATTATCTTGGTAGGTATCCATGATGGATCCATGTATCACTGGATGAGTAGGTAATAATTTAAGGTACATTAATCGGAACAGATATCGGGAGTCTCCCTTTCCCCGGCGGATAAGTTCATGACGCCATGGTGGACCTGCCAGATCCAACCATTCAATCAACCTGCATTCCATCGAAACAGGCTTCTTTGGAACGATCGCTGGTGTGGAGACAAGCGACCTCTGGAGTGCGCGCGTCAGATATTGTTCGTACTGCACGTACTGCAGTCTTACTGCAATGTGCTGAATGCACCCGATGCTGTCGAAGGCGCTGATTGGAGCAGTGAGCAGTGTCCTCTCCCCTCATCAAGAACCAAAGTTTGGGTCTCAAGAGGCACGCACGCACGCACCCAGGCTCAGCCTGCATTCTGTTCGGGTCCCAACAGAAAGAGAGCTCGAGGAAGGACTCGGTGGAAGAGGATATAAAGGCTGATTCGATCCCAGTCCCAGACGACATTTTTTCATCATTGTTCCATCATCCACTCTTGTCCTTTATCAGACATACACTCCGCCCTTCCTGTCCGTCTCATTCGCGAGGGTCCCTTATACGTTACGTTTCACCTGTTAATCGCTTAATACCCATCATGTCTACCGATCTCAAGCCCCTCCGCATCGTCATGGCCTGCGATGAGGCTGGTCAGCCCTACAAGGAAACTCTCAAGGCCGCCTTGGAGAAAAGCCCGCTGGTCGACTCTATCCTCGACGTAGGCGTCAACTCCACTACAGACAAGACAGCGTACCCTCATCCCGCTGTTGCTGGCGCCAAACTCATCAAGGAGGGCAAGGCAGACCGCGGGCTGTTCATCTGCGGCACTGGTCTCGGGGTCGCTATCTCTGCCAACAAAGTACCCGGGATTCGTGCTGTGACGGCTCACGACTCCTTCTCCGTCGAGCGCTCAATCCTTAGCAACGATGCTCAGGTGCTCTGCTTCGGCCAGCGCGTCATTGGTATTGAGCTTGCCAAGAAGCTCGCCAACGAGTGGTTGACCTACCGCTTCGACCCCAAGAGCGCCTCCGCCGAGAAGGTCCAAGCTATCTCCGACTACGAAGCCCAATTCTTCAGTCAAGCTGCTGCCGCTCAGTAGACGGTCTGAAGCAAGAACAAGCCCTGTGTGAATTTACTATCACATTATTCGTCAATCACTCGAAACTCCCTCTGCTCATCAGAGGATGCGAAGATCGTTAGCCTGTCTTCGATTATAATTTTCGAGCGAAGCGACCTGGTTGCGGACTGGATCCGAGCCTACTCACTCTTGGTCACTTATATAAATACCTACCTCAAAACGAGATTGATGATAACCGCCTGATGAATGGGATTATAATGGCAGGCCAATTGCTCATATCCTCTCTAGCTCTGACTTAGCAAAATTGTGGTTCAATGAAATACCAATTGGGACTTCAACAAGACCGTAGCAGCCCGTAGTTACCATATTCTAGCATTGTACCTTCTGTCCCATCCTTCCGCGCAACGTTTTTACTTGCTCTCTCCAAACTCCATACATTGCGACTAGTTACCCCATACTTTCGTTCTGCGGCTAATGTGCTGACTCAGCTATCGTTCTGCGGGGGTCGATCAGCTTCGATTTACAAAAGGACAGGAGCAAGTCACAGATACATCAAGGGTCGTGTCTACCTGAGCAACAATGGCGCACAACCCTCCTGACTGCTCCGGGCTTCCCTTTTCCAATGAGGACAGCGCCAGTCCGCGCCTCCCCTACCCAAATCAGCGGCGAAGTGCTTTGCTTTCTTACCGTGAGACATACTGACTGAGCCTACTCCGGTCGCGTGTCTTACCATTCAAGCACACCCCCCTTTTAGGCCTCCTTTCCAACACAATCGCGCTGCATACATGAGGTAAAAGCATTTTCAGAACTTCTACCGCCGTTCTACTGTATCGCAGGGCCGCATTAGCTCCGCACCGAGCAGTGGATCATCACTGGACTGGGCCCCACCAGAAACCGATCGCTCCGCTCAATTACTCATTCACTGGCACCAACACAAAAAAAGGGACAAAACACTCTCACAGACACGCTGTTGAGGCCTCGCATCAAGCACCTTTCTGCTGACGAACCCCGACGCTCTCGGATATCTCCTTCTGTTTTCGCACCCAGAATCCTCAGACCCGGTGTACGGCGGGCACGGTAGCACCCCAACAATGGCCTTTGAACTCAAAGAGAAGGGCAATCAGCTCTACAAGGCGGGCGACTATGCCGGCGCGGAGGAGATGTTTTCCCAAGCGTGAGTCCAGCCTCAAGACACGGGGAAGAAATCTAGGAGTCCTGCCCCTTCTTGCTTGCGAGAGTCTTCCTCGCCTGCCATGCTGCAAAGACATTTTGCCAACTAAATTGCCCCGGGGCTCCCGCTGCAGTGTCCAAAAGAACCCGAAAGAGCCTACATTCTTCTCCAACCGGGCGATCACCCGCATGAAGCTCGAGAACTGGGCCGGCGTCGAGCAGGACGCGCGCGCCGCGATCGACTTGTACGGCGCGAAGAACCCCGCCAGCCTGAAGAGTCGCTACTATCTGGCGCAGGCCCTGTTGGAGCTGCAACGGCCGCAGGAGGCGCACGAGGTCGCGACGGAGGCATACCAGGCGAGCCTGGCGGCCAAGAATGTGCAGTCGGAGAATCTGTCCAAGACGGTCCTGCGCGCGAAGCAGCAGCTGTGGGCAGCGAAGGAGGCGGCCCGCGTGCGGGAGATGAATGGCACTCTGGCGAGTGTGGAACGGTTGATCGAGGCGGACCTGCAGCGAGCGCTGGAGGACCTCCAGGGACAGTTGGACCGCGGGGAGATCGGCCAGATCGGTTTCTCGGAGGACCAGAAAGCGCTCCGGGAGGATACGGCGAAGACGCTACAGGTGTTGCGGGAGACGTTTGCCATTGCGTCGAAGGGGGAGGTTCAGGAACGGGTGAGTTTCCTGACATAGCCGAGGCATTTTGGGGTCTAGAAAGCTGACTTTTGTGTGACTCCCACTCCTACAACAGGTTGTACCCGATTACCTCATCGACCCGATCACATTCGAGATCATGCACGATCCGGTGATCACGCCGTCCGGGACCAGCTTCGAGCGTGTTGCGATTACCAAGTACGTGGAACAGTCCAAGGTCGACCCGATCACGCGCGTACCCATGACAGCGGATGACCTCCGGCCCAACTATGCATTAAAGGGGGTGTGTGAGGAGTTTCTGGAGAAGAACGGCTGGGCGGTTGACTGGTAGATCTTGAACTGTACTTCGACATTTTGAGTCTTTCTTGAGCGCAGTTTGTCAAGTTACAAATTGGTTGGGCGTTGGTGGATGGATCAGATGCTAGAGTTGTCATTCTGTTTTCCCTTTCTGGGTTCATATTCCCGTGTTAATTTATCATTCCTAGATGCACATAGGCATAAAGCGGTCATCAATAGAACATCTAAAGTACTACTGCTGCGAACTCATCAGCTAATCTTCTTGACAGCTAACGATTAGATGAGAAAAACAAACGTGATCTCAACAATCCCCTCTTTCTCCAAGCGTCAACCCCACCAAACCAAACCCAAACAAACCAAACAAACCCACCCCTCCACCCCCACCACGACAACCATTGACCAAGTCACGCCCCCTCCATCAATCCATCAATCCATCTGATTTCCCCTCTTCTTTCGTCCCATTTCCATTCCCACTCCTCCTCCTCAACCTCAACCTCCTTTTCACAAACAAAAAAAAAAGAAAAACATCCTCCAAAATGTCCGTCTCCGCCTTCACCACCGCCCTCTCGGCCGCCCAGTCCAAGGCCCAGTACACCCCCGCGGTGCAGGCCGCCGCCGACAAGGTCAACGCCGACGCCTTCTCCGCCGCCATCGCGGTCGTCCTGGCCGGCGATGACAGCGCCTCCGTCGAGGGCGAGCAGGCCGCCGCCCTGCAGAGCGCCTTCGAGTTCGCCACCCTGCTCGTCAAGCAGCTGTCTTCCGAGCCCGGGCAGACCGAGATGTTGACTGTATGTGTTTTTTTGTTTTTCTTTTTGTCCAGAAGAGCTTCTCCAAGGAGAACTATGATCAAATCTTTGGATTGCCGATGCCGATGCTGATTTCTTTTGTTTTGCTCGACAGCTTTACAAGTACTTCAAGCGCTCGAGAAACGAGGAGCCCGCCCAGCCTTCTTTCTATCAGTTGGAGGTGAGTTTATCATCCCATACTTTGGTCTTGCATTTACCCCTGAAGGCTGGAAGGTAGTCTCCAAGGGCGGGGGAGTTGAGGAAGAAGTGGGCTGATAAAGCATGCACCACAAACAGTCCAAGTACAAGTACAACGCCTGGAAGGAGATCAGCCACATCAGCCAGCAGCGCGCTCAGGCCAACTACATCAAGGAGGTTAACGACCTCATCGAGAAGTACGGTACCCAGTAGACGACGGAAAGAAAGCGTGACTGAAACATACCTACACTTGTTGGTTATGGAACTCTGGGAGCTTTTTTTGCTATCTGCTTTGGGTTCTCGCTTCTTTTCTTGGTTCAATTCTCTCTTCCATTTGGCCTATGGATAGTCGAATGAGTGTGTGTGTGTCCTCTTGATTATGCAATGTTATGAGCGAAGCAGCATTTTCTGCCGTCCGTCTTGTTTTTGAATCCCCGAATTGAGGTAGGGGGGTCGATTGTATAGAGTTGAGGGGGTGGTGTGTGTGGGTTGGGTAAGTCATATATACATATCGAGTGCTCTGGTGTCACTTGGGCTTTCCATTCTCAACCTTCCCATGTCTGTCCAAGCCAGTCGGGCTCGCTGTGACTGGCTGTGGCGCACCAGGGGATGTCTTCTGCGTGATATGGAGTTAGAGGGAGATCGTATGGCATCCGGAATCCGACTGTGACGGCGGCATCGTCTGCAGCGGTAGCGGGGGTGTCTGTTCGATGGCACGGCGTCATCACTGTCTTCGCAGGAGCAGTGGTGTCGGTGTCCGGTGATTCTCTGGTCAACAACTCCGGCCACACCACCACGCCGATCTCCCAGCTGCAGATCCGCACCTCCCCGTTCGCATTGACCGCCGCACCCCACGCCTGTGTAGACAGATTCGCCGACGTGACCATAGCCCAATCGATCGTGGTCTTTTCTTCCGTAGAGAACCGGATGTATGTTTTGATATGCGGCGCCGCACGTCGGCGGCCCGCTTCCCGTCGTGGTTCGGCGGGTTGCTCATCATCATCATCATCATCATCCCCTGCCCAACGGCACAGAAAGGGCCGCATATACTGTAGCTGCTTCTGCTGAGCCGCGCTGTGCAATTTCATGTGGATAGAGCCACCGGATCCGTACCCGTTCAAGGAGCGCCGGATCTCATCCGGCGTGGGAAAGACAATAGAGTACCGCGGTTTGAAGGCCTCTCTCTTAGGCGCCAGGGATGCGAACAGGACATCTCTCAGCCATTTGTCTGTCTGCCCGAGTGACGCCACCGAGGAGATCTGGAGCAGATCAGCATGATCCCATATTTGCAGTAGTAGCAGTAGCACAAGCACCGATACAGACAGAACCTCAAACTCACCTGAACAACAATGTGCGGCCTCTTCTTCTTCTCCTTCTTCTTCCTTTCCTCAAAGCCTTCGCCCTCCTTCTTGATATTACAAACGGCGAGAGGCACATCCTTCAACACATCCTTCAACGCCACCCAGCCCCAAAGCGTCTTGACCCGCGCATCCGCCTCGCTCAACTTCTGCTTCGACGGCACGCTGGCAACGAGCGCCGCCCGCACAGCCCCAAAATCATACTGACGCAGTTGCCGGACCAGCGGGCCCGTCTTCTTGGACCCATACTCACCCAGATAAGCCAGCAGGTCTCGTTTGAATCTGGCTCCGGACCCGGGGAGTTGTTGGGAGTCGTCACTATCGCTCGGATCAACTCGATCTCTGCTCGTGCTCAGCGGAAGGAGAGGGGATCGCCACACCGCCTGGGTCATATTCGCCCAGTCGCCGGGGATCATGTTGGCCGTGTGGATGACAACTCTATTTCCTCAAGGGTTAGCTCACAGCTCCCCATTCACATACACACGTACACTTCATACTAGGGAAGCCGGAAAGAGACGCACTGGGCACAATCATCGTGTCGCAAGAGAACCATCATCTTGGAGTGATGGGTCCCGAAGGCTTCGGGCATGTAGGCCACGATTGCCTCGACATTGGGGTATCGTGCGCATGCTTCCTGAGGTGGTTGGTAGTGTTAGTCAACTGGGATTCTCTGGGGTCTGAAATTCGTGACGGGCAGAAACATACATCAATGCGCACCCGGTTCGGCGCCTCGCGCTTCCACGACCCGTGCACCACCTTCAGCTTGACAAGGGCTCGCACGTCCTCGTCGAACTGGCTCATCAGGAAGTCTACATCGTGGAGGTAGTTGAATTGCCAGCATTCGCGGATCAGGGGGTCGCCTAGGATATCGCGGAGTCGGACCGTGTCGACATTGTTGCCGGAGGAGGGTGGGAAGTCTCGGATGTGGGTGAGTTGGATGGGTGAGGGGAGGACTTTCTGGCCCAGGCTGCATGGCTGCTGTGCTTTGCTGGACGAAGAGGATATGGAGGAGTCGTGGGCTGGTGGCGGTCGTGCGGGGTCCCTGAGGAAGCGGGATGATAATGGAGGTGTAATGGAGCGGTGCAGCGAAGCTAGGGGTTTGATGAGATCGGTGCTATCGTCATGACTAGGCGCATGACCTTCGTCAGAGACCTCGGGCTTCGTAGCTGTCGCGAGAAGTTTTGCTCGTTTCGAAGGACGGTCTGGTTCGTCCATCGTGGAGGCAGATTCAATGAAAGCGAACAAAAAGTTGGAGAAGTGAGGTTGGTGCGGAGAAGGAAGTGGGCGGAACAATCAATTGTCGGCTTGCGTACCACCGCAGCTGCCATTCCACCATTGAAGGTCTACTATCTTCTTTGATACGTTGTCGGGCTAGTCTACCACAAATAATCAATTGAATACACTAATAATACACTATTTTACATAGATTCTATATACTATACACTCTCAACCAAGCCCCAGTCTCACCACATGAACCGCTGGATCTTGCCTGGTTCCTGCGGCCATTCGAACCCACAGTACAAGAAAATGTATCCGGTCACCGCATTGATAACCAAAAACCAGTAGGTCTCCAAGAACAACGGAAAGTTGGTAGCCATCTTTGCGTTAAGTTCATCGTTAGCAGTCTGGGGACGCCGGTGCACCAACGGCGTAGGCTGGGGCGGAAGGTGAAGACGCCACATGACCCACGGAATGATGAAGTACCGTGGCTCAACCAGAGGAGCAGTGATGAGAGACAATGCCGTGGCCACAAGCCAGACGAGCACAAAGCTCACTTGCGGCGCCCCTTGCTGCTGCTTCTGGCGCTGAATGAGGTGGGCTTGGATCCTGGCGAACGCCTCCTCGGAAATGGGCTCCGGCTTGGGTGCCGCCGGCTTCGGTCCCTTGACAGCCTTCTTTGCTGTCTTCTGCTTGCGTTCCGCCTTCTTCTGAGTAGGCTCTTTCTGCTGCTCCGGATACTGCCAGGCTGCAGGTTGCGAAATCTGCCTCATCTGGGGCGGCTGAGGGGCAGTGGAGAAACCGAGGGCAGAGATTACCATCCATGCGCAAAGGAAGTAGACGACAACAGCGGTGTACTTGACCGCTGGATGGGTTCGTAGGAGGATCCGGAAAGCGTAGAAGACGTAGTGGCGGTTGTCAGCCAGCGTGAAAGGATGCACAATGGTGTTGAAGTGGACAACGACTAGCATAGTTGGGATCACAACAAGTGCTGTCAGCAGCTTTGGGAGTCCATTCTGTTTCTTGGAGAAACCGAAATCGATGAACTTTGGAAGGAGGGACTTGGGAAGAGCCAAGTTGATGACAGGTCCGAGGAGTAGTGGCCAGGAGAAAAACACAATGTAGGGCCAGATGTAGAGCATCTGCGGCAGATGAATGCCGGCAGTATGGAATTCCTTGTGCCCTGGGGACTGTCAGTGAGCTACATGAGGGCTTTCCGGAGACGAACAAACCCACCTAGGACAACACCATCATTCCAGAAGACGAATGCACCAAATCCGGCGAGGATGAGGAGGTACGGAATTGAAGTACTGATCACGGTGCCGAGATTACCCACGGCAACCGTTAGCAGTGAAATAGAGGTTTTGAAATAGTCTAGAATTGTCAACCAAGCCACCAACAAGTCTCAAGAACAAAAAGCCCACCTTCAATAGAAGCCTCCGAGACGAGAGGGTCGTACAGCTCATTCTCCCTTCCCTGTCGAGCAATGCCCGCGAGACCCGACGACCGGCACGGCTTAGATATCAGTCTCAGCTGCCGGATAACCTGCAGTCCACCTAGAAAGATGGCTCCCCAGAAAATGTTCGTCTGTCTGAACGCCAAAGCTACCAGTCCGAGGAGAATGAAAGCGCCGGTCTTGAGTGGAGCCCACGCGCCGTCTGCGGAACGTTTGAGGTCCCAGTTGTATGCTTCAACAACCACTAGCAAGGCAAGAATATCGGTGTAGTAAAGCCCAGAAAAGAAGAAGATGGGCGGGAAGAGGCAGATGTTCAGCACCGTATGGCTGAGCCAAGCCCCAGAGGGACGTGTATTGCGAGTCTTGCGCAATCTATCCAACAACGTCTGCAAGCGATACGGTAGCGCAATGGCAGTAGCTGCCACGTTGGTCGCACGCAGCACTTCCGGGGTAAGCTCCGTAGGAGCACCACGAAGGAACAGAAGAACCGCGCACAGCCCATAGGACCAGAGATACAGCCCCGGAGGAGTGGTGATTTTAGGATCCCAATGCGTCCATTTGTGAGCCCAGTAAGCCTGCGCTTGAGGAACGTGGAACACTTCGTCCAGATATGGTTCGGGGACGTGAGCATTGATCCTGCTCAGCCAGATGGGGATCAACAGCAAACAAAAGGGCACGGCATAGCGAGCGGCCAAAACCACACCTGACTTTGGTTGCGCATTCATGATGAAGGATGCCTTTTCAAACGAAACTCATGCTTTCACAATTGGAGGGGAAAGTACAGTACAATATGGATCAAGTCCGACAGCTCCGAAAAGGGAAGAATAAATCCCGCTGCAAACCGGGCAAACAGACCGCCTTCACACGCGCCTGTCAATCTTTCTTTGATCTTGAATGGCATGACTGAACAGCTCGTCTTTCGCATTTTGCTCTCTTTTCATCTGTTAGAGATCGATCACAGGGCATGGACCGCGTCCCTCTGCTAAGCCTTCCATCCCTTTCCATCGCCCAATTTGCCTGACTGAGGGACAATGGCCTTTCCCCTCCCGCGGGGCATCACGCCCCCGGAGATCTCCTTTCTGGCCGAGATGGAGATGGTCACTATCCTGCCGCGTCAGCGTCTGGAAGGGCTGGAGTTGCTTGGTGTAAGTGTTAGCGATCAAGGAAACACTCCTGATATGCTTCCAATATTCCCATTCGCATTCAAAGTCGATTTCCATAAACCACTCACGCACATGTAACCGAGCCGCGTCTCTATACAACTACCTCTCCTTTCTCCACTCCGCACCAGCATCTCCCTCTCTCTGCGCATATGGAAGATCCTAAAGCTCGAATACACCAGGGCCCCGTTGAACCTCTCATCCCCCCCCGACGCGCCTCCCTCCCCCTCTGGCTCGCGCTTCTCCTCAAACGCCAACGACGCGCCAACATCCTCCCGCCCTCGTGGCTCCATCCGGAGTCCCTCTCCTTCATCCTGGACATCGAGACCCAATACGAAGAGTACAAGGACACCTTCTCCCCGCCGCCGCCCCTACCGGGCCAACCCCTCCTCCACGACCGCGGCGAGCCCGCCGTCGCCACCCCGCGCTACACCCCGGACGGCGAGAGATACTACCCGGCGCCGCCGTTCCTGCCGCAGAACGTCGCGCGCGACCATGTCCCACCGCAGGAGCTGCAGACACTGCCCTTCCACTGGCTCGAGGTCGGGAATATGCTTCTGGACGCGGCGAGCGACGACCTGGTGGACCCCGACCAGACCCGCCGGCTGCTGAAGGAGCTGCGCGAGGTGCGCATGGCCAAGATCCGGTCCGGGGTGGACGCGCTGGACGCCGCGGCGATGGGCGGAGGCGGCGTGGCGCTGACGGGCGTCGGGGCGATCGAGCTCGGCGAGGGTCGGAGGTTTATCTCCGGGGTGGTCGATGGGCTCCGGTATGATTATTTCCCGTCTACATCATGGGGAAGGTTCTTCTTTGGTTGCTTGCAGCTGGCTAACTCTTTTGGTCCTTAGACGGATCGGCGCATCCAGAGAACAGGCTCGGAGGGAGGAGCTGGCGGAAGAGATGGCTAACGGTGGATACGATGCGACGCAGGACGATGACGATGAAATGGAATTCTAGATCTCGGGAAGACGGCCCCTTCCTTTCTGACACAGGGCTGCTCATCTGCAGTCGGCGTTTACGGAGACATACAGTACTTTTTTTTTCATGGCATTTTGCAGCACCCAACCGGGAAAGTCATATGTATATATACCCTCGCGTATTCTTTTGATGACAGACTTACTACACCGCATACAGTGCATATCAATCTGGTCTATTTACTTGGAAATGATACAATCCCCCGCCGTATGAACAAGTCGCGTCCTGCAAAAAAGGGTGAATCCGTCCAATAGGGACAGCAACCTACAACAACTTGCAGTAAAGTCAACACCATCACCCCCGAAACATGGAAAATGTCGGAGCCGAGCCGAAAAGGGTACTGTCAGCATTGATTGAATCTTGAACCATCCTCAACGCCGACAGAAAAAAAGCAAAGGTATAGAACTAACGACGAGAGCTAACAAAGGCCAGGTCACAACAAAAAGAGAAAAAGGGAAAGGACAATCCAAATTTGACTGGGAGAGAAGCCTGAAGCGATGAAAGCCCACAACGATCGATCCCATGCATATATGCAGGCCGTGCTAAGTCACAACGAAGAAATAGTGAATAGTAGGGAGGGAAGAGCCTGGGCGCAGAGCCACATCGAGAAAGGGGGGCCCTCATTGAGCAGCAGCCGTCTGGTCCTTTTGCATCATCTTCCTCCTCGCCGCCAAGATCATGTCGTCCCTGCGCTTCTGGAGCAAACGCTGTCGCTCCTCCTTGCTCTGCGACCAACCCGTGGAGGACTGAGCCTGTGAGGTCGCGGCGTCCTCGTCTGCGCCGACTTTCGAGCGAAGGTTGTACCGAGAGATCAGGTCCTGGCCGTCTGCCTTGGGTGCAGCGGCGGCGGGCTGTACTGGCGCGGTAGGGGTCGGGATAGCGATCTGGGGTTGGAACGATGGAGGGGGCTATCGAGGTTGCATGCGGCGTTAGTTTGAACATCTGTTCCGACTGCTGAGTCTCTCCCTCCCTCCGGCAAGAGAGGGTGAACAGTAGCAGAGTGCTACCACGTTAGGCGCAAGACGTACCACTTCTAGGCCACGGCCCGTCAGGATTCTTTCCGTAGTAGCGGCCATGTTCCCTCCGTTGCGCTGTAAGTCCCACATGATCTCGCGATGGCTGAGCTGAGGAAACATCTGCGAGATCTGCTCGACGTGGGCTGGATCGACGCCATTTCCTCGCGTGCGGCTGCGACCGGTTTCGGCCCCAGCATCTCCGTCACGGTTGAAAAACCATCGAATCACGAAGAAAGAGACAACGGCGAGGGTGAGAAGGGAGGGGATGTTCAAGGACGGTTCTTCGTCAGGCATGGTGATGGGTCACGTGTGAAGGAGGGGACTGCGTCAGTGTTGGAGGACTCGAGGGATGTCAGATGTGAGAGGCGTGAGATCGCCGAAAATGAGTGGAAGAATAACTCTGGCCTCACGTCACCCGCAACAGGGGCAAATTGTCGCTAAAAGGTAAATAATGGGTGGAGACGCTTCCAGGGAGGGGGATGTTGGTTGACTTGAGGAAAGCCGCGGCAGATTAGGGAGAGCGGGCGATGTGGTGGCGGTGGAGCAGTCGGGAGGGCGGAACGGGAGGGCGGAATCCCTGCTGGATAACTCCGTATGAAGTTCACTAACTTAAGTTAACTAACTACTTCCGCTGACGGCATCCTGCCTACCAACTCGTACTCGTATTCGTACGATTGAGTAGTGCATATACACCATTCTCGACTATTTCAAAAATGCCGTGTTACTATCAACAGATGTCATTAAATTGTAACAGCAAAGTCATCCAGATTCATATACATCATCCAAAACACCTCATCCAGTAACCCCCATGACCCGGTAATATAACGCTTCCTGTCCCAGTCCTTAACCAGAGTAGCCCAAAAGAAGTATGCACAAACGAAGAATCAAGTCTCTGTGGAGGGCGAACTTATTTAAGGTCCGCAGCAGTCAAAGCTTGGACCACACTGGTACCCTCGCTGAATCTCGTGCGGAAGATACGGTTGGCGTTCTGGAACATACCGTCCTTCAGCGACACCACGATGAACTGAGATCCCTTGAACCGCGTCTTGATCAAGCGGCCGATGTTCTGTGTGTGTGAAAGATCCAGAGCGGCATCAACTTCGTCCAGAATGTACATAGGGGCCGGCTTGAATTGCAGCAGCGCCATGATCAGAGAAAGGGCAATGAGAGATCTGCTCATCTGTAAGTGTCCATATACGCAAAGGCTTTCGCCGTGTGGTTTCACATACCTCTGTCCACCACTCAATTCCGTCAAGCTCTGCTTCCAGACCTTACCCAAAGAGACCTTGACTTCCAGACCATCGGTAATATCCTTGCCCTCTGGAGGATCCAGCTTGGCGAAACTGCCCGGCAGAAGTTCTGAGAAGATCTGACCGAAGTCACCATTGACCTTAACCCATGTCTTGTGAAGAGCCTCCTTTTTGTATTCATTCAGGTTGATGATCGTTTCCTCGATCTTGCTCTTGTCCCGAATGACAGTCTTCATCATGTTCTTCAGCGCAGCTTCCTTCTTCTCCACGCTGTCGATCATGTTCATGACCTTGGGATTGATCTTCTTCTTCATACCCTGGGACCGCTCCGTGAGATTCCGCAGAGTTGATTTGCACTCGGCAATGTTGTGATTTTTGAAGTCGTAGGGCGTGTTGGATCGTCCAAAGTTATCCTTCTCGTCCGCGATCCACTCATGCTCGTTTTCCATATGGGCAACCGTCTGCGCAGCCACCTGCTGGTCCTTTTGTAATTTCTCCAGCTGATGGCCCAGCTTCTGCATTTCGAGACCGCCTTCAGTTATCTGGGAGCCTTTAGACTTCATCGCCACTTCGAGCTCGCGTAGTTCGTTATCAAAGCCGCTAAGCTTGGCTCGTTCGTCATCAAGCTGAGCTTGTGCAAGGTCGTGTGCATCCTATGACATTTTTAGTACGCAACTTGCCACTGCAATTATTCGCTTGCCTACCTTGACCCGAGCCTGTTCTCTCTTCAATGACTGAATCTCCTCCAGCTGAGCCTTCAGTGTGTTTTCGGCTTCGGAGCTTTGCTCCTCCGCCGCGGACAGGTCACTGCCAACCTGCTCCAATTCCAATCTGGAGTTCTGGAGTTCCTTCTGTAGGGTCTTCACGGAGTTGGAGTTCTTAGAAAGCTTCTTCTTAAGAGAGTCTAGAGAGGCTTGCAGCTCCGCCAGCTTGCTGTCCTTGTTGTCGTTGAACTCGCTCATGTCCTTCTCGATTCGCTTGATATCCTTGGATGCTTCTGTTTGTCGAGTCTTCGCGTCAAAAATGTTCTGCTTCAGCTGCTCGATATTCGCTTTCATCTCTTCGACGGCTTGAATGATCTAGTTCCAGTGAGCTGCTGTTGTGAATTGTGTGATTTGAGATATGCATGGTAGACTTCTCTTACCGTTGAAGACGAGTTGCCGCTAATCTGCTCTTCTGTAAGCTTGATCTCGTGCGTTTTGAGATCCAGGTCCTGCTTGATCGTTCGGGCTGCGTCAAGCTTCTTCTTCTCCTTCTTCATGGTCTCTTCGACGGTGGCGAGGAGTCGCTCTTTGCTGCGGATCTCTCTGGTGATCTCATTCAATTTCCCGAGCGTCACGAGCACACCACTTGAGTTCGGGGAGCTGCCACCGGACAGTGTACCCGAGGGGTCATAGACGTCGCCTTCGAGCGTCACACTCTTGATGCGAACAGATGGATCGAAAGTGACACGCTTGGCCGTCTCAGCGTCCTGGCAGATCAAGGTATTGCCAAAAACATAATTCATTGCCGCTGTAACTTCCTCGTCGTAACCGATTAGTGACAAGGCAAGGTCAACCTTACCAGGGGCGATATTCTGAGCGGCTCCGATCTTCTCTGCGGAGGCCCTGAAAGACGAGATCTTGTTCAAGGGAATAATTGTCACACGCTTCTTAAGCCTGCCGTTCTTTAGAAGTTGGGTACCAGTCTCAGCAGAATCAACGACAACGTTGTACAAGCGTCCACCAGCGCAAATCTCCAACGCAGTTGCAGCTTGAACCTTCTCCTTGTCCAAGGCGAAAAGCTGCGCAACAAGACCCTTGACCTTTGAGCGATCGAAATGAGGGTGAGGATCAGCGTATTGGAAATCGATATTTGCGACCTTCCTCTGGAGCTCGTCAGCTCTCCGGCGCAGCTCGCGGATGTCCCTTTGCAGTTCCGCCTGCTCCTGGTTAAGCTGTTCTTCTCTGCCAGGCTCATATCCCAGCCTAGTAAGCTCAGCCCCTAGCTTCTTCGCCTGAGACTTCAATCCTTCCAGTTCTTTGAGGAGACCGGAATTCTGCTCTTTTGCCTTCTTCGCCCTGGGCTCTTCCTCCTTGATTCTCTTTTCCAAGTGCGCGATTTTCAACTTGGCTTGCTCCTGTTCCGTCGCAGCTGCGCTAGCACGATTACGGGCATCCTGCAGCTGACCCTGATAACCGCTCTCCTGGCCTTCTTTCGAAGCCACACCGGTCTGGAGTGTTTGCAGTAGTTCCTCTTTCTGCTCCACCTCGGAGGTCTGGGCGTCCAGTTCTGCTTTGGCGGCATCAAACTCGGCCTGCATCTTATCGTAGACCTTCTTCTTCTCCTTAAGGGCCTTTTCCAGGTCGCTAACTGCTTTCTGGGATTCCTTCATTTTCTCCTTCTCCTCAGCGATGCTAGCATTCTTGAGGTCGAATACCGTAGTCAATCGGACGAGCTCGTGCGAGTTAGACTTCACTTCGTCTTCCAGGGCCTGGAACTTGCCGCCCTTACGGAGCTCCTTATCACGAGCGGCCTTGACTCTCTTCACATCGTCCTCCAAGTGGGCGATCTCGCCCTTGAGCTTCGTTGCGCTGTCCTCAAGCTCCTGCACCCTCCGTCTCTTATTCTCACACTCCTCCCCCGTCACAAGCAGCCGCTCATTGCTCTTCAGGTAATCGTGGGCCACAACCAGCCGCGTCAAGCGCTCCAGGTCGTTCTGGGTCTGCTGGAAATCCAAGAACGCTCGCTTCTCGGACCGGAGCTTCTCCAACTTGGGCTCGATTTCCTCCTTCAGCAACTCCTCGATCTCGCGCAGTTTGAGTTCCTTCTTGCTCATGGTCTTCACCGCCTTCTCCCTCCGATCCTCGAACATGCGCGTACCCGCCGCTTCCTCGATCATCGACAGGATCTCGACCGCCTTCATGTTCAGCACCTTAGTGATTTTGCCCTGCATGATCAGGAAGTTGGGGTTGTTGATATTCAGCTGCACGCTCTGGAACAGGTTCTGCACGGTCTGCTGCTGCGCGCGGTGGCCGTTGATGAGGTACTTGCTCGTGCCGCCGAGGACGATCTGGCGTGTCACGGAGATGGTCGCATACTCCTCGAAGCCGATGGGCGACTTGGCCGTGTCGCGGTTGTCGAAAACAATGGTCACGCTGGCCTTGGTGACACCGGCCTGACCGCGCTTGTAGATGAGATCCTGGAGGTTCTGGGCGCGGACGGTGCTCATGTTCGTGATACCGAGAACGAAACAGATGGCGTCGAGGATGTTGGATTTTCCACTACCATTCAGGCCGGTGATGGAGTTGAAGGAATCGTCCCTGGAGACAGAAAGTGTAAATCATCAGCTGTTAATTCCCAGAAATTTTTCGCAGATCGAGTAAGTTGATTCAGCGACCCAGTAAGCGCATACCATCCTGAGATAACCGTACGCACGGCATACGATTTGAAGCCCTGTAGAGATCGAACGGAGTCAGTGATTCACATTCATTCACATGTATCTCTTGCGGACGGGGAGAGTGGACTCACATCAATGATAATTTCTGTAATCCTCATGGCTGCGACTCGGATTCTACCCCATCAACTACAATTCTGGGTGCATAGGCGATGAGGGGGGTGGGTGTATGTCGCTAATTCGATCGGGAATTGTTTTCGCGGGCGGTGTTTTGCCGGCGGCGGGCAGCGTGTTTACTGTTTGCTCCATTGGGCTTAGCCTGTAATCTGGATAATGTAATCATGGAGGGGCAGCACGTGATTGAAATGGCCATCTTAGAACTCAACCAATCACAATGCATGTGGTTCTTCGCCTACATAGGTAGTACAACAATAACCTCAAGAGTGAGTTGCAGCAGGGCACTCCGAGACAGAGATGGGCAGTCACACCATATCGTAGTTGTCACTTGTAGGTTTCTGCTCGATTCTCGGTCAGTAGGCGGACTATCGGAGAGAGTATTTGAGAGGCATCAATGCAATCAAGTCCGTGATTGATGCTTCATGAAAATACTACGAAGCCCTTGGGGTAACTGATCATGTCCTAGAGTCTAACCACTAGGTGTGGCAGGTACCTTTGGTCTTTCTTTACTCGGCGTTTTGAGTTGAGCGCCTTTACATTCGATGGCAATGTGGCTATGAAAACTACCAGTGCATGCGGAAGCTATACTGTACATCCAAGACCGGGATAGCAGCAATCGTCCTTGAATAAACGTAATAGAAATCGATTATAACCTTCTTAAACAGAGTACCTTAGAGATACTATGCATTTGCAGTTCTTGTTGTACAGTTCTAGTTCTCTTGCGCGATATTGCAAAATGATCGTGGCATAGCACACCGATACTCCCCGCCTACACTGGAATACGAGTTTCATGGCATCATGACGTCTACTAGTCTACGAGTATGTCTCAGAGGATCAACACCGCCCTAACAATCCAGCTCCCTTTATCATTAGACGAACTGCTACTACCCCAGGTCTCAAGGATTTATACCATGCCTAGCTAAGAACCAATCATTTCATACCAGACTTTCGTCCTCAAGGTGCTCCGGAGACATCTCGGAGACATTCATCTGCAGCCCCAGCAGCAGCCAGCAGACACGAAGAAGGGCATGGAGGAAAAAAGTAATATAAGAAGTACTCACCAAGCTCGTCCACTTCATCTCATCCATCGATTCTTTTGCACTCCACCCCCCCCCCCCCCTTCTCGAGTTCTGCAACCGCTAATCCCCTCTCTGCAAGCCCCAATCCCCAATCATCCCACCAAACAATGGCCACCTCTCACCCCAAACTCAAGTACACATCTTACCAAACCCCCGAATTCCTAGCCAACTACTACATCGCCGAGAAACTCACCGGCCCCTTCGCCGCATCTCTGATCGAACACGCCCGCATCGCGGCGCGAGCACGCTCCGGAACCCCGCGCGTGATCCTCGACAACGCCTGCGGCCTGGGCATCGTCTCCAGCACGCTCGCCCGCACACTGGACGACGAGAGCAAGAGGCGCTGGAGCTTGACGTGCGGCGATCTGAGCGAGACGATGATCGAGGCCACCCGGCAGCGCATCGAGCGAGAGAAATGGCCCAACGCGGAAGCGAAGGTGGTGAATGCGCAGAGCACCGCCTTTCCGGATGGGGGGTTTACCGATATATTCGCGGCTTTCGGTTGGTTTCCGCCTCCACATGAGACGGTGAGGGTTAAGGCTGACCTGGGAGGCGTTGTTGTAGCCTTCACTCTATTCCCGGACCCGGAGGCGGCGATGAATGGTAAGTTGTGCTCCAGTGTAAATCGTTCAGTGGACGCGCTGGAACGGATTTCCTGACGTGCAATCGATGTGTGCGTGGCGAAGAATGCTATAGGATCCTGAAGCCGGGGGGAATGTTGGCGACGACGACCTGGAAATACGGTAATGTGCCCTCCGGTCTTCTACCGAGAACTTACCAGTTGACTGAGGTACTGACTTTCCTGCATAGCGACTTGGATGTCTCTCCTCCGATCCGCTGTCACTGGAATGTCTGAGGACCTGAAGTTCCCAACTGTAGAGGAGTTCCTGGCTATGCATAACGTTGGCTGGGATTCGGAATCGTTCGTAAGGTCCCGATTTGAGAAGGCAGGGTTCAAAGAGGTTCGGGTGACCTCTGTGACGGAGCAGGTCGAAGTTCCGATCTCTGAATTTGTGCAGCTCTCACGGAGTATGCTGAATTTGGTGATGGAAAAGTTGTGGACTCAGGAACAGCGAGAGCGGTATCAGGCGGAAGCACCATTGGTGGTGCAGAGGTATCTGGAAGAGAGATTCGGGGTAGATGGGCTAGTAAATATGGGGCCGTCGGCTGTTGTTGCGGTGGGAAGTAAGTGAAGAGTATTGAGGGAAGTTTACCTATGATTCTCTAATCTACAATATAATGTGCGCATACTATAGTCACCAAGAACCGAACTTCAGATCATCGGAGTCATTGATTGAGGTTGAGATATGTACTAAGGTACTTTCCCACAGATTGTAGAGAACACCGGGTGCTCCGCTATTACTAGTAACATCTAGAGCGACTGTATACGGAAACGATCAGTGAGCCCGAACGCCGTTGCTGACCCCATTCCACCTTGACTGGTCCGTGTCGATTTTCATGACCCGTGGTGCGGGAATCCGACGCGCGCAAGCCCTCGGTTGGGATCCATACGGTTGTCCAGATCCTCGTAGCGAAGGATGAACTCACGCTGCAGATCGCAAGATTAGTATGTTACTATGAAGACAAAATCAAAATGAGGGCATGGCGAGAGGGCATACTCTGATCTTCTTCCAGCTGGTAGGATCCCACAAGAGGTAAACACCCCTTTCACTGACACCACGTTCCACATCAACAGGGCCGGGATACGTCTCGTCGCGAGTCAGCCAGCACCGCTCGATCTTGTGATATCTCCATTTCCGACCCATCAGTTCCTCGGCTACAACTTCTTGTAGGAGATCTCGGGGCATGCTGTAGAAGATGTAAAAGAGCGTTTCATCACTAAAACTCGGAATCCGCGATTGCAACGGTTGGACGTTAGCCACGCTGTAGCATGAAGGAAGCGCGAAATCTTGCTCCAGAGGGGCGCCTGTCATGGACGCGACGAATGGTGAAGCGAATGACGTATGTAATGGTCTAAAGGAGTCAGTCGACATGTTTTTTCGCACAGGGTTTGGTAGAATGCATACTCCGGCTGGTTCAAATCCAACCCTAACGTCATCAAATCCTGGCCTACTGCCAGACTTGAAACATCAGCATTATCGCTATGGATCATGCGCAACAATCCCGCTAGCCCGAACTTGTCCAATTCGCTCATTTCCGCGAAAGGCGATTGATCGACCGTTTGCGCAGTCCCAGCAGACGCTTCTTTACCCGTGGCCGGAAACCCTGGCGGTCGCATGATTGTTGGTTGTTCACTGTAACCGGCTGAATTAGACGCTACAGAGCTGTTGACCTCCTGCTATAGTTCGTCAGTTTCAAAGCCAAAGTGTCACCGAGTCGGGGTCAATACCTCTTTTTCGGGGGCTGGAAGCCTGCTAGAGCCTTGATTCACAGGGGATCGCGAGTTGTCTATTCCTAGAACGTGGCCTTAGCGCTCCGTGCGGCGCCAACGCGCTCCACTACGACTTACCTGTTGAGCTTGCACCACCAGGGGACATGATCCGTTCTTGTCCGTTCATGGAAGCGGCGATCATGTTGCGATTTTGTGCAGATTGGGACTGGTTCACGCCAGAAAATGGCATACCACTGCTGTAGTTTCCAAGTCCCGCACCCTGCATCAGCGATCCTCTTCGGTCCTGACTAAGGTCTGCAGGCGCATTACGTCCGAGCGGAGGGAATTCTTCAATATTGCCCGTCTGCGGCTGTCCACCGGCACTCAGCTGACCACTGATACCCTGACCACCATTCCGGAAATCTTCCAAACGATTGGCGAACTGCGCGCCGGAGGGGAATACGTCATCATGTGCGGGCTGAGATTGCTGTTGAGGGTGTTGGGGTTGCGTTTGAGGTGGTCTTTGAGGCGCTTGCGACGTAGCATGTTGCGGTCTTTGGACAGGGGTCTGCTGCATAGCACGCTGGCTGGCATTTGCCCATACCATATGGCTTGGGTTTTGGGTTTGTGATTGTGGAGCCGCGCCGGATAGCGAGGGGAAGTCCCTGTGAGGAGAAACAATGATTCTCAGTCATGAACTCAACCGACATGGGTATCCTCGATGAGCTGATCCATAAAAGTCAAGCCCTGCAGGTCGAGTGCTACACTCACGAGAGATCCAGCGGCGTAGTGGGCTGGGATCCACTTAAGCTTTGAGCGAATGTGCTCATTGTCCCGATGCTGCGTTGTTGACTGCCTTGCATCCCTGGCGTTCCGCTTACAGGCAAGTTGAAGTTCCAGTTCGCTCCGCTCCCTATGCCAGCCACAATTGTCAGTTTGCGGGTGTGTAGAATGGCCATGATCAGAAAAAGGTCGCACCGATCTTGCCGTTCGGTAACCGCGCCGTTGCTAATGCTGCGTTTCGAGCTTGTGCCTGTTGTTGTGCGGGGAAGCCGGCCATGCCTCGTAGGGGTTGTGGGCCTGTTCCTAGAGTGGGTAAAAGCGGTCAGCGACACAGTCAGAGCCTCTGCTAGAATATCTTGACATCTTGCGACTGCCTTCAAGTGAGGCCGGAAGGGAGGGTGCGGAGATGCTGCTGCTAGGTCTCGTGGTTGCCCATGGCAGGAACCATCAATGGATTTTTGCGATTGAAACACAAGTAGAGAACGGCCACGGTACCGTGCATCAAGCACCCTCGGGACCGTCCACACGAACGTTGGGGCGATGGAAGGCAACACAGTATCCAAGATCGAGGGCGTATGATGCGGCCGTAGCAGCGAGGCCAGTCATGACGAACACAAAGGGAAGGTTGGAAAGGACAAACCTGGCCTGTTCATTGTGCAAAGAGGCGGGCGTTCAGTAGATTCTATGGAAAAGTCAAATTTTGGACCGGGACTCCACGAAGACAGTCAGTACTTCAGCGTAACAGCGATAAGAAGGAAATGTGCAGCTAGGATCTCTACCCACACTGTTGCGCCGGTACTGGGAGGCGGAGTGGCTGCAACCGCGCGCTTCTTCTTTGATGCACGGACCATCCATGACTAGCCGCTCGGGTCACGAGCATCCAGAACACTCCTGGTCACGTTACCTTGTACAAAACTAAGAATTTGTCGTGAACAGTTTAGTTAGTGCTCATCTCTAGCCGAAGACGATGAAGAGTAGGCAGGATGAGCATGTATGGGGAGGTTTCTCTGTATGTACATGATACTACCAAAAGCAAGACATGGCCAGTAATGATTACTAGATACTACTAGGTAGGTAGCTTCGATCTGTGCAGTATACATGAGCCAATATCTTTCCAGACTGGGAGAGACTGATTCCTAAGTATAGATTCATGTAAACTATTCTCTTTGCTGGCCGACCGCGTTTTTCCTTGCTTATGGAATGTTTCGCTTGGCTCGCCCTATAGGTCGATGTTGCACGGAGCATCCTGGAGCGGCGCCTGCACGTGATCTAGCCGCCCAAACTCCGCTCCGTCAGCTTTTGATTCCTCGGGGCCGCAGAACGGACATGTTGTGTTAGAGATCCCTCCGACTACGAAGGCTACGCTCCTCACAATGCATCGCCAGGCCGTCCTGCGTCTGGCTCGCCAGACCGGCGCTTTCCCTCTGGGTGAATTGCCTCCCCCATACCTCGCCCCGTCCCTCCATTTCTCTCTCAACCGGTCGCCGGCCCAGGCCTCGAACTTTTCGTCCACCGCTGCCGCCGCGGGCCACGGACGTGACCTGAGCAAGTCTCGCGGTGTGTCCGCCATCCACCGCACCGGCCCGAAATTCAAGCTGGGTGTGTCGAAGTACCCATTGCCCAAGCCCGTCGCTCGCGGCGAAGTCGAAAAGCGTCACCCTACCCCCGACCATGGACTCTGGGGATTCTTCCCCAAGGACCGACAGGCATTGAGCAGCCCGGAATATGATACCGCCCACGGTTCGTTTCTCCAATTCTCTTCCTGAAGGATTAGTCTGGCCCAGTCAACTCATTTTTCGATCTCTTAGGTCGTTCATGGTCGATTCAGGAACTCCGCGAGAAGTCGTGGGATGACCTCCACTCTCTGTGGTGGGTCTGCGTCAAGGAGCGCAACCGCATAGCCACCTCCAACTTGGAGAGAGAGAGACTGAAGGCCGGTTATGGTGAATACGAGGCGAACGAGCGAGACCGTGTGGTATGTCCCATCCCTATCTTCAAATGCCCCCCCCCCCGGTTGTCATTGCTCCTTCGAATAGGCTACAATCAAGTTCGCAACGTCGATCCAAGCCTTTGTCTCATTATCCAATGGATCAGTATGGTTGCTGACATTCGACGGATCCATTAGGTTCGCGTTACGCAAAACGGCATCAAGCACGTTCTGCGAGAAAGATGGTACGCTTGGGAAGATGCTCAGAAGCTTTACAAGAATGGATACCGGCCGCAGCATGAAGGTACTCAGGATGCATCCTACCCTGCGAAGTCTGGGGAGTCTGAGAACCTTGAGAAGCCTGAGCAGGCTGAGAAAGCGTAAATTCCACCATTGGTTATGTCATTGAAGACACAGTTCGGGGCTCTATTGACGGAAGTCCACCTTACTGGTCTTGTATTATTGTATGTAGTATAGTTTGCAACTTCCCCTTTTTTTTTACCATGCATTGGCTTGCTTCAGAATCTATACATTGCGCTCAGATCATAGGGAGAAATGTCTGTGAGTTTATTGAAAGACATCCATAGAAGAATGATTGGAAGGAGAAATTTCCGATGGCTATTGCAAATAATCAAGCCATTAGGGCACCGATATGGATAGCGTGCAAATAGTTGCCGGGGTCGGCTGTTAGTCACTTTGGCCAGTCCGGAGTAGACCGTCCATAACGGAAAGCAATAATCCCCATGAGAATATTGGTCATTGGCGATGTGCTATGTGCTATGTGCTATGTGCTACGTAGTCGGACTGGGAAAAGGGGCAGGAGTTTCAGGAGGTCACAGAAGAAGAAATTGGGAGAGGGGCTCATGATTCATCCGATAGATTAACTTGGTCTACGGGTCCATTGTCTTGGTGCCTACCATACAATAGTCGGGTCGTATTTGTTGTCGTAGTCGTAGTATGAGTAGTTGGTTTGGTCTCAACCGTCCAAGGACTCGTGGTCTAGTCTAATAAAGTCCATAACCCGTGAGTCTAGGACTCTAAGGAGGTTCAAGGTCTGGCAGTCACCCTGGAAAAAAAGCCAACGTTAATTGCCTTGGTGGAGCCTGGGTGGGCGGGCGTCAAATAATAACGGGTTCGAGAAGGTGATCGATGATCCGCGGGGGGTTCCAAATCTACCCTTGGACTGCCTTAGACTGACGGGTCGGCCTCCTTTCGACGGGCCTGCTCCTCCTCCTCCTCCTCCTCCTCTCCCTCCTCTCCTCTTTTCTTTCCTTTCCTTTAAACTCACCGTGCTTCATAACTCTCCATCTTCTTCCCCCTATACACTTACTGCCCATATTTATTCCCATCCTCCTATCACTCCTTTGGAGACTCATTTGCACATTGTCATTGATTTCCAGCGTTATCTCACATCATGGATGAGATCGCCCCCGAGTATGATGTCGTGGTGCTCGGCACCGGTATGTTACTACCCCGCCATTCCACCCAAGCTATACTGACCCCCCTCCCCCCTCCGCAGGTTTGACCGAGTGTGTACTTTCTGGGTAAGTCCTCCTTACCGCTGTCGGCTATATTTCAGTTGCTCATGGTTTCTGCAGTGTTTTGAGTGTCAAGGGAAACAAGGTCCTTCACATTGACCGTAATGATCACTACGGAGGGTAAGTTTGGGCGCTCCGCCGGAGCTATCTTCCCACCACCTTTGCCATCACACAAATCACTAACCAAGCGTTCAGAGAGGCTGCCTCTGTTAACATTGAGACTGTGAGTATCTACAGCCCCTTTCATACTCTGTGTCAGTGTTGCTAACAGTTGATTTACACCTTGCAGCTCTTTAAGAAGTACGGCAACGTTCGCCCCGGCGAGGAGCCCTGGAAGAAGTATGGCCGTGTCAACGACTGGAACATCGACCTGGTTCCCAAGCTGTTGATGGCCAATGGCGACTTGACCAACATTTTGGTTTCCACCGATGTCACGAGATACCTCGAGTTCAAGCAGATTGCGGGCAGCTACGTCCAGCAAGGAAAGGGTCCCAAGGCCACCGTCGCCAAGGTGCCGTCGGATGCCGGTGAAGCTTTGCGTTCTTCCCTCATGGGCATGTTTGAGAAGCGGAGAGCCAAGAAGTTCTTGGAGTGGGTGGGCGAATTCAACGAGAGCAATCCCTCCACTCACCAAGGTTCGTAGAAGCTGTGCTTTTACTACCTCATGACACTGACATGGGATAGGCCTCGACATCACCCAGTGCACGATGAAGGAGGTCTACGACAAGTTCAGCTTGGAGGATAACACTCGCGATTTCATTGGACACTCCATGGCTCTCTACCAATCCGATGAATACTTCCTCAAGCCCGGAGCGGCTCCCGAAACCATCAACCGCATCCGCCTGTATGTCAACTCCATGGCCCGTTACGGCAAGTCGCCATACATCTACCCCCTTTACGGCCTGGGTGAGCTTCCCCAGGGTTTCGCTCGTCTTTCTGCTATCTATGGCGGTACTTATATGCTCAACACCTCCGTGGATGAGGTCCTTTACGATGAGAGCGGCAAGGTGTCCGGAATCAAGGCCACCATGAAGGACCGTGACAATGAGGGCGAGACCATGAGCTTCACCACTAAGACGAAGAAGATTCTCGCCGACCCCTCGTACTTCCCTGGCAAGGTCCGCGTTACTGGCCACTTGTTGAAGGCCATCTGTATCCTCAACCACCCCATCGATAAGACCGACGGCAGCGACTCGTTGCAACTTATCATCCCTCAGTCTCAGGTCGGAAGAAAGCATGGTATGTTTATTTGAATCGCCTCTGATCACACGACGTACTAATATACTTCAGATATCTACATTGCTATGGTCTCTTCGGCACACAATGTCTGCCCCAAGGGATACTATATCGCCATTGTCTCGACCATTGCCGAGAGCGATGCCAACCACCACATCGAACTGGAGCCTGGATTCGAGCGTTTGGGTAAGATTGAGGAGACCTTCTTCAGTGCTCCTATTCCTCTGTACGAGCCCATCGAGAGTGGCGAGAAGGACAACATCTTCATCTCCAAGAGCTACGATGCTACCTCCCACTTCGAGACCACAACAGGTAAGCCTTCCAGATCCCATGAGAGAGAGGTTTTGAGCCTTTTTGCTGATATTTTCATAGATGATGTCCGGGACATCTACCGTCGTGCGACGGGCGAAGAGTTGAAGGTGGAGGGTCTCCGGGAAGATCAGAAACTTGTGGAGTAAATCAGCCTCCAGCATTTGCATACTAGGGTACAGTAATTTTTTTGTCGCTTCGGATGCGCGTTTTTGACTTGAGCCATAATTCCTCTTGGACTTTCCTTCACGCTCATGAAACATACCATATATTGCTCTTGGACTCAGTCCGCTCCCTTGGTCTCTGGCATACGATATTATTACAGTAGGGACAGGTCTACATATGTTCATATCAACCCAGCTCGCAGGTGCATAGCACCACACCACTTTGTGAATAAGAGTTGTCGTTCTGAGAGTTGAACACATAAGGCTGTTAAAAAAATGCTCTATCGTAAGTAGCGTCGACAACACAGAAGACCACCCTCAGCAGAAGGATCCCGAAGGTCAGAGAAAACGACTCTGCAAATAGATAGAAGAGAGAGGAAGTAGTACAACAAGCGCTAGTGTCGACCGACGGGTGCAACAAACCAGCATTGCCCCTCCCAGCCAGCCAGTCAGTCCCTCTTTCACATCGACGAGCCATCCAAATTGACTTTCTCATGGTCCGCCACAATACAGACCTTGCTATCCTCCGCGCGACAGATCTCCGCCTTCACCAGCGCCATCCGCTGGCCCATATTGACCATCTCGCAGTTCAGCCGCATCTCCGTCCCCACGGGTACGGGACGGATGTAGGTCAAGTGGAGGTTTCGCGTGGTCCCCGCCGTCGAGAAGCGGCCGGGGCTCGACAGCGCCAGGATCAGCACCGAGGTGAGGCAGTCCACCATGGTGGCGGCTGCGCCGCCGTGCAGGTTGCCGGCGAAGTTACAAAGCGCCGGCACGGTGGTGAACAGGTAGGAGCATCGTGCGGGGGCGCCGGCCCCGGCACCACGAGTCGCGGACTCGAAGCGCAGGTTGCACGCTTGCGGGGAGTAGTCCCATGTCTTGTTGAGCGCCAAATCATTAGTGATACAAAGCACTTGGGATCGGGAGCCATGTAGCTACACAGTACAGTACAGTACAGTATACATACTTTGTTGTCGGGGTCTAAGGGGGGAGGACCCTCGGTTAGGCTGTGGACGTGACGTTCGAACTCGTCCAGTTCGTTGTATGCGCGGGTGGTGGGTACAGGCATCTTGTCTTGAAGATATCTCTGGATTGTGGATTTGAAAATCGTTGGGCTTGGGCTAGTATGGGCTCATGTGGTATGCAAGTCTGGACAATGAAGTCGACCACAGACGCATATCTATACGCTTGCGTCGGTTGGGGGAGTTGCTGGAGGGGAAATAGCCGAGGTTGACGGCTGTTGGCTGTTGTTTCAATGGTTGTCACTTGTTCACTGGTGAATGCTCAGCCTTGTCACATAAGTTTGTGGTATCATGGTCCACTTACCTTCTCTTATATATCTTTCGCTCCCCTTTTGTTTGGCTTCGTCTTCGTTACCTGATTGGGCCTTGCGATAGAGCGTTCGATTCGGATTGTCAATTGCGGAGACGAGATATATACTTCATGTTACCATCCTCAAATCAAAGTCAAAGACTAGACACAGACTAAATGGACCCGTCAACAAACCTTCAAGCCTGTAGTGTTCCGACACAGACAAACTTCAATGGTCTCCACAACAAGGTTCCAGCTTCTGGGGAATCTGGCTATAGTTCAACGAGGTCTCACATGACCGCGCGTCGCGCGTGCTGCCTGAGGCTGCAAGATTTCGTCTCTCCCCATTAATGCTTCTCCGCCTTGGAGGAGGCCGGAAGTCCGAAACAAACTCCCATAACCCTGGTTGCTCCTTCGACAGCATTTTCCTCAGTGTGGCCTGGAGAATACTTGTTGGATTCTGACTGCATGAAAGTCAGGTCATTTAGCAAAATCGCGAATCGCACCTTCATCCCCCAATTGGGCTCCGATCGGCCGCCATTGGAGATTATTTCGTTCTCCGCACGTTACTACCTATCTATCCTTCCCCTTCGCGCCGATAAACCAACCGTGCGACATACTCGCCAATCACATTTTTTTTCTTCTACAAACCGGGCCCCGTGAAATGAGTACACAGCTCTCAAGTTTCCGGTAATCAGCAGCTCGACAGTAAACCCTTGAACCCAGATAAAGGCGAAATACCTACGGGCGTCAACAATGAAGGACTCGCGCGCGAGCAAGAGGAGAAGGGTGTCGAATGTACAGGCCGTGGATGAAGATGGAGATGTGGAAATGCGCGATGATACTATCAATGCTCCGACAGGCCAGTCGCAACCTACGCCAGATAAGAATTCCAAGGCAGTGACCGAAGCGGAGGAGGCGCACCCGGTTGACGAGCAACCAAGATCACCGCCAGTTTCTGCGCGATCGAAACGCCGACGATCCTCCCAAGGTGCTCCAGCGGTGGAGGATGACAACGCCCACAACAACAAAGCTGAAGAGACGGTTGCAACAGAGACCCCGTCGCGAGCTGGAGTACGGTCAAGTGGTCGGCAGCGAAAAGTGCCCAAACGTTATGGAGACGAGATCGTGGAGACGCCATCGGGCAAGGGCGCGGCGGCGTCGACGCCGAGGCAGAATGGATCCACAACTAAGAGTGCCCGGAGAGCGAAATACGTGTCGGCGTCAGAAGATGACGGTGTTGGGGATCAGGAGGAGGAGGAGGAGGAGGAGGAG